CGACAGAGCGTCCTCCGGCGGCGGGAGCAAAGGCGTTTAACGATCAACCGGCGCCCGGCGCTCCCGGCCTCTCTAGAAAGCCCGTCTCGGTGGCAGCCCCGCCCGTGGAGGACCCGACTGCGGTCCTTTGACGGATGGGAGGGAGCTGGGGCCAGTGAGCACAGCTTTGAAGAAAGCTTTTCCTCCCTCAAGATTTTTCCAGCTTAATTATTTAAAAAGCATTATAAATAAGGAATGCATTCACATGGTTCAATATTTAAAAAGAATTAGTGTCCTCCAGCATGTTTTCACTCATGTCTTTCATAACATGTATCACCCTCACTTTCTTCTACACAAATGACAGCATTTCTATACCTTTTTACCTCCTACCGATTGATTGGGGAGATTACTTCCTAGGTCTTGCTCTTTTAAAAAACACAAACTACTACATAATATTCAATTGCCACAAGTTATTGATAATTACTCCATTAATGTTCATGCAGGTTGTTCCTTTTTTTTTTTTTTTTTTCAGACGCAGCTCCAGTAAATTACTGTGAACATGTTTCTCATGTGTAAGGGCAGACCCATTGCATACATCCCTAGAAATAGATTTACAGAGCAGAGTACCAGCATCTATACTTTTGGTACCAACTTACCAATCATAGTACACACTACGAGGCTACCTATACACTTGTCAACACGTTATAAATATTTTGATCTTTGCCAATCTGATGGGTTAAGTAATATTTAGGTGTTTTCCCCTCCCTCTTAACCTTTCTTACACAAATATTGATTACTCCCCTACCAGGCAAGGCACTGTTCTGGAAGCTGGAACTATAGGTTAAAGCAAAACAATGCCCTGCCTTCATGGAATTTATAAGTGTGTGTGTGTGTGTGTGTGTGTGTGTGTGTGTGCATATGTAATACACAGATGGGGAGGCAGGCAATAAAGAAGAAAAATATAGTTTATTAGATGGTGGATGTCAGTGCTAAGGAGAAAATAAAGGAAATACGGAGTTTACAATTTTCATAGGATGGACACTGAGGACCTCACTGCACTGACACTTGAGCTAAGACTGAGGGCCATGAGGCATTTGGGGTGAAGATGTTTCAGGGAGAAAAAACAGCAAATGCAAAGGCCTGGAGTGGAGTGTCTGAAATATTGTAGGACCGTGAAGGATGCGTGAGTGTCTGGAGCTGCAGTAGCACAGGGTGCTGGGAGTACAAAGAGGGAGAGATATGGGGGCTGTGGGTGAGTGCGAAGGTAATTGTTTTTTACTCCAAAATGGGAAGCCATTTGGAATTTCTAAGCAGAAGAGAACATGATCAGACCTAGGTACTGAAAGGTTTTTCTGGTTGCTGTGTTAAAAATAAACTTGTAGGGGAGAGATCAACCAAAGAACTTATATGCAAGCATACAGGCCTAACCAATGGACACACACAACAGGGGGGTGAGGGAATGAG